CACACACACTGCATTAAGACCCCTATAATAAGTGCAGAGATAAGAGACCCATCTTTCTTTTCCCAGAAAAGAACTGGGGCTGCCATGCTGGGTCTGGCTGGCTGAATGAAGCCTCGGGCCACATTTTTCTCTATGAACTTGCGCAGTTCACCTAACTCCCTTGGAGTCATGGAATACAGTTTTGGTTATGGCAACTTGGCCCCAGGAATGATCTCAATAGCACAGTCTGTGGGTCAGTGAGGAGGGAGTTCATCTGAACCTCTCTCACTAAACACATCAACCAAATTGTGGTATTCTCAGGCTATGCCTTGCAGCAATTCACTCTTTGAGGCAGCTGCCACTTTTCTGTGGGATTTCTTCCTTGCCTTGTGGCCACCATTGCGTGGGGCTTGCTCCCTCTTTGGGAACTTCAATCCAATCCACTTTCCATTTTTTGAGCTAAGCCAGTCCTAAGACGAGGGGCCATTCCATTCTGGGTGCCACTATAGAGTCTCTGAATTCCTTGGTATACTTAGCCACTGGTCGATGGTCCTGCCTCACAGTTTTGATGCGATCTCTAGCTTTCCGGTCAGCCAGGAGGTCTGCAAACTTCCGTCTCAGTGCTATCATGAAGTGGTTAGTTTCAGAACTCTGGGATGTTAGCGTTGTGAAGGGTCATCATCCATCAAGTGGCGGCCTCCTCCAGGGCCAGGGTGATGACTCTGACCCTAGCCTAGCCCCTTCAGTGAGGATGTCTTGCCCGTATTCTTGCATGTGGAAAAGAAAGAACCCCAATTGCTGGGGGTCTCCATCAAGAGGAGGTGTTTTCCGCTCCTGCTGATGGGGTCCTCCTCCACTGATTCTCTGGACATTCGTGTCACCAGGGTCCTTTCAGGGAGGGCTGGCTGGTGTGGTTGTTACCCTCTCTGTGGATTCAGCGGTGCCAGAAGCTGTCTCCGGGGTTAGGGATTCCCCCCTTCCTCGTGCTGTCTTCTCTTTCCATGTGAGCTATGGCCTCTTGCATTTTCCGGCTCTGGAAAACTTCCATCATGAAGCGCATTGCTCATTTTATGAGGCAGTTGGCATAATCCAGTTCTTCCTCAGATGAGGGTGACTCCTTTGGACCTTCTTTCCCAATTCTCCTTCTTCCCCTCGTCAATGGACCATCTTGGCTTCGAGGACAGCAGCTTCCTCTGCCCATCCAGTGAAGTTTGTGTCGGGGTGAGTTTTGATGGAACTCTCCCCCCAACACTCAGCTTCTTCATGCTCGCTGCAGTGGTTAGACATCATGTGCACGGTTCCACAGTAGAGCTGGTGTCACTTCAGGTCAATCACTTTGCAGAAAGTTGAACTCTTGAAGCAGGCAGCATTTCAAAAGGATCTTTTATTGAGAGATAGTAATTGCAGAGAAAACAGGTAGGATCCCCCATGGAAACGCTAAGTTAAACCCCACTGTCCAAATCCATCCCAACTGCTCAGTTCATAGAGAGATGCAATCCAGAGGTGCAAAGTTGTAAGAACTCCAAGCTGGGAAGGTGATAAGAAGCTGTTCTCAGGTGCTGCGACCTTGGTTCTCCAGGGATGAGACAAAGCAGATGGTCCCAGGAACATCCCTCCCCCCTTCCATTTCCCAAGAAGATACATCAAAGCAAAAGAGGAACAAAGTAAATTGGATACATCAGCGGAAACCCCCGAGGTTCCCCAATGTCCCGATAGGGATCTATCTAACCTTAACCCTAACTTCATACTGTCTTTTAGTTGTTTTTGGTGGGTTGAGCTACAACACCCGTTGCTTGTGTCAACGCTGCAAATATTGTATATTCTTGCTTTTGACAATATGCGTTGACAGCTTGCATGAGTGAGGCCATGAGTACCCACATTGCTCACGGTGATACCAGTGCTCATGCATGGGACCACAAATGCCCATGACGCTCGTGTGAGTGGGGCTGTGTGCTTGTGTGCACACAGCCAGCCACTCATGCAGCCCAGTGGCCAATAGGCTGTGGCCCAGTAGTGGGCCGTGGCCCACAGGTTGGGGACCCCTGCTTTAGTGGACCAACTGTTTGACTTTTTTCTTGTTATTTATATGTTGAAAGAAACTTTATTATCTTTGACTTTTGTCTTTGTTCATTTCCTGACTTCATCTTTGCAGATTCTGGCTGCTGCTAATATTCTGCCTTAGTTATGTGTCCCTCTTTCCATTTTTTTGTTCTTATCCTTTTTTGTATTTCAGTTTATCAGAGAGATCTTTGTGAACCATGCTGGTTTCTTCTTGGATTTCTTGTTTTTCTTTTTCTGTAGTATTGTACTGGACTGGGCTTTTATAATCATATTTTTCAGTTTCCCAAGCTTCTTGGGTTGTTTTCTCCTTTAGGATTTTCATCCAAGGAATCTTTCTCAAGCTATCTCTGAGTTTATTAAAATCTGCTCTTTTGAAATCTAAGACTCTGGTATGATTATGTTCTATTGCTTGTGTTTGCATTATGTTGAATTCCAATATGACATGGTCACTCTCATCCAAGGTTCCTGTAATTTCAACTCTATCATTTCTTCTGTGTTAATAAGAATTAAACCCAATATGGCTGTCCCTCTAGTCCCCTCCTCTACCTTTTGGACAACAAAGTTGTCAGCTAGGTTGGTCAGGAACCTGTTTGGTCTCTCTCTTGATGCAGAATTAGTCTTCCAGTTGATATCAGGGTAATTAAAGTCCCGCATTACTATTGTAGTGTGTTTCCTACATATATTTTTGGTTAGCAAAAAGTACATCTATAAAGGGCCCTCCCTCTCTGTCATCTTGCTACTTTGGTTACTATCAAAGAATAAAAAACAAACAAATAAAAAAAGCAATCTGGATGTGAGAACAAATGATGAAATTAGCAAGGAAATAAGAAAAGCCAAAACCAAGAAAGACAAAGATCTCAGGAAGGAACAATTTCAGATGGATGTTGGAAGACTTAAGAAGCAGTATTGCAATGACATCCATAAAGACTGAAGATGGAAATAACCATGGAAGAACATGAGTCTTCCAAAAGATCTCCCAATCTCAAATTGGTATGCAAAAGAACACCAACGGACAGACAATAAGTTATTCCAAGAAAATAAAGAGATAGATGAAATACATTGAAAAGCTGTACAGTAGAGATATCAACATCCAAAATATTTATAAGGTATTCCCTATTTAGAAAACACTCCAGTACTAGAAGATGAATTAAATCAGAATTCTAGTTGTTATTAAATTGGAAAGATACAGGAATTGTTGGAGTATTTAGAAAAATATGGAAAGCAAGAATGGCAGCAACTCTGGAAAAAATACAATGGCCAAAAGATTGGAAGATCAGTCTACATACAATGCCAAAGAAGGAAGACTTAACAGCGTGCACAAGTTAGTGTTGATGCTCACCAACCATATAGATGTACCCATCCTTCCCGGTTTCCAACAGTGCATCCATTGTTCTTCTCCTACAGTTCACCTATCCTAATATTATAAATTACTCAAGGTAACTGGGCTGTCGCAGTGTTTCAAAAAATATACTAATTTGATTATTTCTACCTTGATTGAAACCTCTGTATTTTTTTTCTACTTATTTTCTTGGCTGTCCATGGTAATGTCAACTCTTTTTCAATATTAGAGTTCAAAATTAATACTTTTTATTTCAAAGTCCTATTTCTTTCTGTCTAGAAATTTCCAAAAATATTGTTTCTTCAAAGTCCAACTTTCACTTCCATTGAGTGTCACAGGAAAGATCATTGCCTTTGATTCTCATTTGTGCAGTTGTAGAAATATCACAGCATCTGAATAACTTTTCCAAGATCTTCAGCGCTACTTATCAAGTGCTAATCTGGAGTCATTTCTTGACTGCTGGCTCTTACAATTGGTAGCCTATCCTAAAAAGCAGAAGTTGTCCATTGCTTCAGTGGCTTCATTATCAATTCTAAGTCTCATTGCTGTGCCTGTTGAGTTTGGTCTTTATATTTAAACTTTGTGCCACCTGTCACTGTGTCCCTGATTTTCATTACTCGGCTTGCTGAACATACACATTTTCAGCCATCACAATATCATGACCTCCACACAGATTAATGTTTCTTTCTCAGTTTTAGAACCAATCTTATTTTTCATCAATTATGTCATGCTTCTGAACCAATTCCAGGAGTTGGGGATTGTTGGTACTACGTTCTTCTAGTTAGGTCTCCTTCCTCCAGGGCTGGTTCCAACGGGTGATGACGACGGGGGAGAGGACTGGCCAGCAGTCTCTACTACGTGGGGTGCCATGGGGCTTGTCTTTCTTTCCTCTCCTTGTTTAACACCAACAATAATTTGCAGGTATATCTATATGGCTGCTATGAATCATGATAGAACGTAATTGATCAATTGCATGAGTGTGAAAAACAAAAAGATAGAAGATCGGGGACACTTACTAGGCAGCTGTCCATGCAAACAAAATTGAGTATGACGACTCAGAAGTTGAATCTCACAATGAGGAAACTAACCGTTCCTATCATGTACTCTTCAGACAGCATCGAGAATAGCTTGTCTGGTTCTAGGAAAGACCCTGGTCAACAGTAACATGTCCATTTATTATTTTCATGATTTTGTCCAGGGCGATGGCCGCGCGCATTCAGAGGCCTTCTGTTCTGAGACTGGGCGCCGCGTCGGGAAGCGGGGTCGAGGCCGCCGACCGGCTTGAGCCCAGACCGACTCAGGGCCGTTGTGGCCCCCTATAAATGGCAGGCCCTCAGAGCGGAGGGCCCGCAAAAGCCGAGGCCTCCCCAAGAGCAGCTCCGAGGCTTTAAGGAGCCGCCCTTACGACGGTCCCGGGTGCTGTTCGGGGCGGGGGGAGCGGCGGGGGCCGAGATCCCCAAGAAGCCCTCGCGCCTCCCTCGCCCGCCGCTGCTTTCGGCCGAGGGGGTCCAGAGGGCGGGACCCGGCGGCGGCCGGAAGACCCGCCTCTCCAGCGGGATTGGAAGCGAGGAGAGCGCCCGCCCCGCCCCTTCCTCCGTCGGGGCCCTGCGCACGCGCGCTTGCGGCTGCCAGTGGCGCTGCTGGCTCGGCGGGGACGCCTTTCGCGGGGGGACCTTCCGGCGCCGGGCCAGGATGGCGACGGACGCTCCCTGCGAGCTCCCGGCGGTGCCGGCGGGCGGGCTGAGCCTGGGCCGGCCTCCCGCGGCGCCCTTCCGCCGCTGCAGCCCTTCCAGGGCCGCCGCCCCGTCGAGCGGGGGGCCTCCCGCGGCGCTGCCCGGGAAGTGGGTCCGGCTGAACGTGGGCGGCACCTGCTTCCTCACCACCCGGCAGACCCTCTGCAGGGACCCCCGGAGCTTCCTCTTCCGCCTCTGCCAGGCCGACCCGGACCTCGACTCCGACAAGGTGGGGCCCCCGTGCGGCTCAGGGGCGCTTCCCCCTTCCCGCGACGAGGGCTCAGCCGCTAGCCCAGCTCCGCTGTGGGCCGCCGGCCTCGGGTCTCCCCTCTGGAGAGGCTACGACGCGAATCCATCAGAGCGGCTCTCCAGATACGGTACCGTGCGGTGCCTCCGGCGCAGGCGTAGGACAGGAGACGGGTCTAGCAAGAGCGGAGCCAAGAGTGGCCTGCCTTCCGTAAACCTTTGGCTAAAGCTCCGCTGCTGTCCTTGGGGCTTAGCATCCCGAATTCTTCAGGACACTTTCCAGTCCACACAACTCAAGGCCGTTGATCTAATCTTTTAAATCTAGGCTTCTCTCCTTCCTCAGTTCTCTCTCTCTTCCTCTCCTCTCCTCTCCTCCTCCGTTCTTAAGATGGAATGTAATCAGGAGAAAAACAGCCTAAAGCAGAAGATAAAGGATACAAAGAGGCGAGCAGATCTAGCCTGCCTCTCCCCAGGACATAACAGCTAAATTGGTCACTGCTGCCAGCTACCATACACAGCCGTTGGAAAGCTTTCTCTCTTGCCCAATGCCGTGCTCTTCCCTCTGCAGCGTTGGATGGTAGATATAGAAAAGGACCATTGACTGAAAGGTTTTATTCCTGTGATTCTGGATAGGTGGAAACTTCTGAACATATTCTTTGTTGCTCCTTTTACAAGGATATCCGAACCAGATTCGTACTTAGATATTTTATTGACCAGATTCAACCTATGTCCAAATGCTTCTCATGTGCTGTAACAAGGTATCCCTTGTTATAGCACATGTAGATATGTTTTGTGCAGCAGTACAGATCTGTCGGACCCTGATGAGCCAATGTCCTTCAATGCATTCTTTGTCAATACCAGTATAATTCATTTAAATTTTAGATATGTTACCCTGTTAATACTAATAGTTTTAGGTATTAGGAGCCCTGGTGGTGCAGTGGTTAGAATATAGTATTGCAGGCTAATTCAGCTCATTGGTCAGGAGTTTGATCCTGACCAGCTCAAGGTTGATTCAGCTTTACATTCTTCCAAGGTAAAACGAAGACTCAGATTGTTAGGGGTAACAGGCTGGCTCTGTAAACCACTTAGAAAGAGCTGTAAAGCACTGTGAAGCAGTATATAGGCTTTGAGTCTTATTGCTATTGCTAATATTAGTTTGTTGTAATTTTAGATGTTATATTTAATATAATTGTAATGTTTACATATTTAATATAGAATGTATCCTGGATCTCACTTATAGATGTTAGCACTGTCTAAAATGGTATGGGCTTTCCTGCTTGAGTGAGGGGGGCTGGACTAGAAGACCTCCAAGGTCCCTTCCAGATTCTATTCTATTCTATTCTTATTTTAATTCTGTCTTAAATTTTATTTTATGATCAGTACTGGTTTACAGTTGCAATAAATTGAATTGATTGATTGAGCACTCTTCCCAGCTCAACCAGCTGCAGTCCATCCCACACATTGTTCCAGTTTATCAGAAAGGAGGCTATGGTCTACTTTATCAAATACCTTACTAAAATCTAAGTAAAGTACATCCACACCATTCCCTTGGGTCATAATCTAGGGTCTTTGTCAAAGTGCCATTTATTGAAACTTTCCTGATAGAATAATGTTAATTCCCAATGCTAATAGGAATCAGGGATATTAAAATCATGGCTTGTTTTTAAATCTATGCTGGCTGTTTGTTTCTAAAGCCTTGCAAATGCACTGCTTGATTATTATTTCAAGGAATTCACATGTATTGTGGTCAAGCTGATTAGTCTGTAGTTCCTGGGTCAACTTTTACCCTTTCTAAAAAATATTGGAACAATATTGACTCTTCTCCAGTTTTCTGATGCTTTTCCTGCACTCCAGAATTTCTTAAAATTTCAGTTGCTCAGAGATAACATCTACCAATTATTTTAACATCCTGAGATACAATCCATCTGGTTCAGGATACTTGAACTCATTCAAAGCAACTAGGTTCTCTCTCACCAGTCACTTGCCTATTTTAAGCTGTGTTTCTCTTCTGCCCCCCTTGCTGTAGCTTTTTACAAGTCAGGTCACTTTTCCCTTATGGAAAAGACAGGTGCATGGTAGAAATTAAGCAGTTCTGTCTTTCCTGCTGCCACCACCTTGCCATCTCCTCTAGTCGGTGGGCCACTTTAGTCTTCTCTGTTGATGCACCTGACTGTGGAATATTCTTCTTCTCTCTTTCCCATGTTTTACCTTGTTCCTGATGGCATTCAGGTGGGAACCTGATCTGGCTTAACAGGTCCTGTGCTTTTCCTGATTTTACTAATGGTTAGCAGTGCAGAAAAATTAGTAACATCATGAGAAATACTACTTGAGAAAACGTATCTCGCTTCATTTACCTATTGAGGGAGGATGATTTTTTTCTAATTATTAACGGTGTATCAGATCTTAAACTCCCTCATACCTGTCTCTTAAGTACTCATATATTGAAAATATTGGAACCTGCTAGAACGTTATTCACCCCTTTCATATATTTCCAGGTATCAATCCTGTCCCTCTCTGTCCCTTCTGTCCTCCAGACTGTACATATTCAGTTCTTCCAATCTCTCCTGATGCATCTTGTCCCTCGGAGCTTGCACTGCTTTTGTTGCCCATCTCTGGACTTGCTCAATCTCACATCTTTTTTTAACTGGAGTCTCCAAATGGGGTCTGACTAAAGATATTGTGGGATTAGGACCTGCTTTTTCCTGCTGATGGTCCTTCCTAGTTGATGCATCCCAGAATTTTGTTTGCCTTCACAACGTCAACTCTATGATACATCTTTGTGTCACCAGCAAGATGTGTGTATTAGAGTTGATGTTCCTGGCGGTATTTATTATGAGGAATATATTCAGTGGGGGGTTTCAGGGTTCCATCCTGGCCCCATTTGTTCTTCATCTTTTTAATGAATTATTTAGATGAGATAGAAGAAGTGCTGATCAAGTTTTCTGGCAACACAACGTTGGGGAGGATTGTTAACTCCTTACTTAGAAGACAGGCTCAAGGTTCAAAAGACTCTTGATATACTTGAGTCCTCCCCAGCAAAATGCAGTTCTTTGCAGGGCATGTAAGCTTCTGTCCTTAAATAGGAAAAATCAGATTGATCGTTACTGGCAGTAGTATTCTGAAAGAATCTCAGTATTCTGGTGGACTGTAAATTAAGCATGAGCCAGCAATGTGCTACAGTTGTCTAAAGGACTGATGTATTCTTGGGCCACATTGACCGAGGCATAGTGAGGAGATATAGGAAGTGATAGTTCTGTTCTGTGTTGTACTGGAATATTGCATCCAGTTCTAGTTGCCATAATTCAGGAAAGATGCTGATGATCTGGGAAAAACGCTGAGAAGAGCAGTGAAAATGAAGGGAGGCTTGAAGGTTGAATCCTACAAAAAAATTTAAAGGCACTGAGTATATTTAGCCTAAAGAAGAGAAGGCTTAAATGAAACAAATCAGCAGCCTCAGTTCTTGAAGGAAGAGGATATGGATTTATTTTCCATGGTGTCTGAGAATAGGACGCATACAAAGATTTCAAAATAAGGACTTTCCTGTTACATATTAAACAATAGGACAGTCTGTATCCAGGGGTGGGGGTGGAGAGCAGTCCCCATCACGGTGGGGGGGGGGGGTGTAAAAGCAAAGTTTGGACAGCCAGTTTTCTGACCTGAACTGGGTGTTGGAGGCCACCAATGTCCCTTCCCACCCTTTGACTCTATGAAATATCATCCCATTTTCAAAAAAAAAAAAAAGAAAAGAATATAGGAAACTACAGATCTGTCAGAGCTTGACATCTATCCTTGGCAAGCCTTGAAAGAGACTATCAAGTTACATGTAAAATTATCTGGTTAGAAAAGTAAAAGGCATAAGTCTAGGATGGGGGCAGCTGGCTTGATAGTAATACACGTGAACTGAATATGGTTGTCTGCACCAACCACCATTCAAACATGAATCAGCAATGCAGGGTAGCTGCTAAAAAGGGAAATGCTCTCCTAGTGGATGTTAGGAGAACCACATAGTCCCCACCATGGAAATTGTTCCGTTCTGTTCTACCCTGATTAGAACGCACTTGGAACACTGTCCAGTTTTGGGGCACCAAAGCTCAAAAACAATGGCAAATTGGAACAAGTTCAGCTGCCAACTCAGAGTCTTCCCAGAAAAAGGATTCAGAGACAATGTCATCCCAAGCTGGATGGGGAGGGGGAAGGAGAATCCTAGAAGGTTAGAAGGTTATAACTTTAGTTTGCAAGGTTTTCTCCATTAGGAGTAAGCAAATAAAGGGTTGAATTTGGTTAGATCTTAGTGTCAGGTCTCTGGGTTTACCAAACATCTGCAAAACATATCCCACCAAGAACCTTGACAGATCTGGATGTGTTTGCCCCACAGGAAGGATGAATGAGAAGTCTTCAAATATCTGGAGGGTTGTCACAGAGAAGGCAATATTGTTTTCTTCCCTGATGCCCCAAAGGGCAGGGCCAGAACTCCTGGGTTGCAGGTTTAGGCATCAAACTTCTGCCTGATGGAAAAAGCTGCAGCTGAGTTCTCTTTTGGTCTTCAGAGAAAGGCTTGAAATCCGGCAGAGATAGTTCAGTGCATGGGTCTCAAACTTGCCACGTCATGTGACGTGTCGCGACGTATCGCAACTCTTTCTGCATTGCCGGCAATGGGGTGGGTGCGGCTTCGGTATGATGAAACTGGCCTGCAGGCCAGCAGTTTGCCACCCCTGGTTTAGTGGGTACTTCCTATTCTGTCATTAATAATAGTAAGAGACGATAATTTGGGTGAGGAATGTTAAATTTACGCAAGCTCAAAATTTACGGGAAAATTTTTATAAAATGTTTTATAGATGGCACTTTGATCCACAAAAGATGTCTCGTATGTATTCAAATTTGCAACCTAAATGTTGGAGATGTGGTTGTCTGGATGCAACATATTATCATATTTGGTGGTCATGTAAAAGCATAAAAGTTTTTTGGATAAAGATATGGTGGAATATACAAAAGATTTTTAATAGAAGGATAAAATTCACTCCACAATTGTTTTTGTTAGACATTATTGTTGATTGTGATGATAAAGAAATTATTTTAATGTTAAATTTAATCACAGCGGCAAGGTTGTTGATAGGACAATATTGGAAGAAGGAATTTTTGCCTTCTTTGAGGAATGGTTTTTTAAAGTTTCTTACTTATCTGAAATGGCAAACATTTCGGCTTATTTGAAAGATCAATCGCAAGAGAAATATCTCTTGGTGTGGAAAAGATGGATAAACTTTATACAGTATAAGTATGATATTAAAAGATATTATTTAGCTTTTGAATAATTTATGTTTAAAGTTTAAGATAATAAGTATTTTTTATTATATATATATATATTGGACTTAAAGTACTTTAAAATTTGTTTTTTTTAATGTAATATTTGTTTGAGGTTTATTTAAGTTTAAATGTTTTGTATTTTTTAGTTCTAATTAACCCTGTATTCAGCTCTGGGAAGACGGGGGGAGGGTTTCTGGGAGGGTAGGGAGGTAGTGGGAGAGGGATTTTATTGTAAAATTGCAAAAAAAAATTAATTAAAAAAAAAAAGTAAGAGACACAGGTGTATAGGAAAAATGATAGTCATTCAGAAATCCGGGAATGAATGAGAATGGTAACTGAGTGCAGGCAATCCTCACTTAATCCTTTGGAAGCCTCAAGGGCCAGCTTACTATTGCACACATCAAAAGTGATGCAGTGCTCTCTTGAAAACTTTTCTCTCTGGTATGTTTGCATTGCTTTTGATGTGTAGAAGAGCAAATACAGTGGGGCAAAAAAGTATTTAGTCAGCCACCAATTGTGCAAGTTCTCCCACTTAAAAAGATGAGAGAGGCCTGTAATTGTCATCATAGGTAGACCTCAACTATGAGAGACAAAATGAGAAAACAAATCCAGACAATCACATTGTCTGATTTGAAAAGAATTTATTTGCAAATTATGGTGGAAAATAAGTATGTGGTCAATATCAAAAATTCATCTCAATACTTTGTTATATATCCTTTGTTGGCAATGACAGAGGTCAAATGTTTTCTGTAAGTCTTCACAAGGTTGGCACACACTGTTGCTGGTATGCAGATCTCCTCTAGAGCAGTGATGTTTTGGGGCTGTCGCTGAGCAGGGCAACACGGACTTTCAACTCCCTCTAAAGGTTTTCTATGGGGTTGAGATCTGGAGACTGACTAGGCCACTCCAGGACCTTGAAATGCTTCTTACGAAGCCACTCCTTCGTTGCCCGGGCGGTGTGTTTGGGATCATTGTCATGCTGAAAGACCCAGCCACATTTCATCTTCAATGCCCTTGCTATTGGAAGGAGGTTTGCACTCCAAATCTCATGATACATGGCCCCATTCATTCTTTCCTGTACATGGATCAGTCGTCCTGGTCCCTTTGCAGAGAAACAGCCCCAAAGCATGATGTTGCCATCCCCATGCTTCACAGTAGGTGTGCTCTTCTTTGGATGCAACTCAGCATTCTCTCTCCTCCAAACACACGAGTTGTGTTTCTACCAAACAGTTCTACTTTGGTTTCATCTGACCATAGGACATTCTCCCAATCCTCTTCTGGATCATCCAAATGCTCTCTAGCAAACTTCAGACGGGCCCGGACATGTATTGGCTTAAGCAGGGGGGCACGTCTGGCATTGCAGGATCTGAGTCCCTGGCGGCGTAGAGTGTTACTGATGGTTGCCTTTGTTATGTTGGTCCCAGCTCTCTGCAGAGAGAGGTCCCCCCGTGAGATTCTGGGATTTTTGCTCACCGTTCTTGTGATCATGTTGACCCCACAGGGTGAGATCTTGTGTGGAGACCCAGATCGAGGGAGATTATCAGTGGTATGTCTTCCATTTTCTAATTATTGCTCCCATAGTTGATTTCTTCACACCAAGCTGCTTGCCTATTGCAGATTCAGTCTTCCCAGCCTGGTGCAGGTCTACAATTTTGTTTCTGGTGTCCTTCCACAGCTCTTTGGTCTTCACCATAGTGGAGTTTGGAGTGTGACTGTTTGAGGTTACGAACAGGTGTCTTTTATACTGATAACAAGTTCAAACAGGTGCCATTAATACAGGTAATGAGTGGAGGACAGAGGAGCCTCTTAAAGAAGAAGTTACAGGTCTGTGAAAGCCAGAAATCTTGCTTGTTTGTAGGTGACCACATATTTATTTTCCACCATAGTTGCAAATAAATTCTTTCCAAATCAGACAATGTGATTGTCTGGATTTGTTTTCTCATTTTGTCTCTCATAGTTGAGGTCTACCTGTGATGACAATTACAGGCTTCTCTCATCTTTTTAAGTGGGAGAACTTGCACAATTGGTGGCTGACTAAATACTTTTTTGCCCCACTGTAGCTTGCAGCTTTCTTGCAATCCCTTCCCCTCCAGTCCTTCTGCTGTGCAAGTGGGGCAGAGGAAAGAACATGTCAGGCACAGGAGGATGCCCACTGACCGACTAATGGCGATCGCATGATTGAGCAAGGTTGGGAAAGTTGCAGATTGGCTACAGACCTATTTCTTTCAGCATGTTGTAACTTCAGACGGGCTGAAAAGTCGTCCTAGATTTATGACAAGTCACTTGTAGTCCTAGATTTATGACAAGTCACTTAGCAACTGTTTGAAGTTATGAAAGACACCTCAAAAGGTACTTACGGACCCAGTCCCTAAGTTACATTTTTTGTTTTTATTGTCTGTGTCAGACCTGCCCCAGTTTGGTCCCTTAGGGAAGAAAAACCCTCAACTCCATTTGGTTGACATTTCTCAGCTCAGGGGTATCATTGTTGTGGAGGATGACCATCCACTGCGCTGCAGCCCCTTCCAGAGCCATGGTGACACATCTCACTTTGCTGCCTTCTGTACTTATCTCCAGACCATACTCCTGCATGTAGGTCCAAACCTGGGCTAAGAAGAGCCCCAATTGCTGGGAATCCCCATTTTAAGGCCCAGCGGCAGGGTCTTACCGCTCCTCGTCCTCGCTGGTACTAACACCTCTGTTGGGGGGGTGAGTTGAGCTGCTACTCCAGGTGCTGGGGCCACTGGGGACATCACTGCCTTGGAACTGGCTGCGGTACTGTTGGTCGCTGTGGCTGGAGGTGGCTGGTTATTGGGTTATGCGGCTCGGGCAAGGGCTTTGCATGCCTTGAGGTTCTCAAAAGCCCCCTGCATGAACCTTGTGGCTTGTTCCATCATCCAATCGGCTTGACCATGCCCTTTTCTGCCCCACTTCTTCCAGATCTACACGTGGTGCTAGTCGCCCCCATGCATTGCTCTTCCCAATCTTCCTTCCTCCGAACACTCAGGGACCACCTGGGTCTTGGCAGGTTGCTGTAGCTTCCCGCCTCTCCCTCAGAGAGATCCAGTCCCGGAGGAAGCCTGCGTGAAGCTTCTCCCCAGCATTCAATCTCTTTCTGATCGCTCCCTTGAGCCGACATGGTGTGCACGGTCTCCACGGTAGAGGTGATGTCATCTCCGGGTTGACCACCATTGCAGATCCCACCTAATGTCAGACCTGCCCCAGTCTGATCCCCAAGGAAAGTAAAACTCTCGACTCCATTTGATTGAGGTGAAAGGTAATTTTACTAAGAGATACTGATTGCAGTAAAGTCAGGTGGAATCTGAGTTTCCTGCACAACAAGACAAAACTATTTCCTTCCATCCCATACTCCTCCCCATGACCAGTCAAAATGCAATCAATGCAGTTCCACCTGAATGTTTTGGGAACGGTGAGTTGTTTGGGCTGGTAACTTTCCACACTCAGGGCAAATGGCTGGCACAAACCAGTCCCACAGTGATCTGCTTTTCTTCAACTCTTATCCCCCTCTCGAATTCCCACACAAAAATGCATACAGGTTTATTGCCCATTTGTCCCCCCCCCCCCCCGTCGTGCCTCCTCCCCCAGACCTTTGATGGCAAGATGCCAGTGCTGCGCCAAGCCGAAGATGCTTCCATATTTTCCCAATATTCTCCCAATTTATTAACAAACATTAGTTTTATTTATTTATTTGAAAAATTCATGTGGCTATCACAGAAAAACAACAACAACAACAACAACCCACAGACTGTCAGGTGAGGACCTGACAGTGTGTGGGGTTTTTTTTTTCTGTGATAGCCACATGAATTTTTCAAATAAATAAATAAAGCTAATTGGGAGAATATTACAATTACATCTGAGTTCTGTATTTAAGTTTTGTTCCTTTCAGGTAAGCATAGGGACACCGATCTTTTAATTTAAAAATTTTCCGATTTGTTTAACAGTTCAGTTTTTGAATGAAGCTTCTCTCCCCTCTTGCTTGCCTTTGTCGCATAGCCCACAGCTGGCAAATCCTCTTGAAAATCATAACCTAATAAATTGCCTTGAGGATGTCAAACCAATAAGCTTGACCTCCCCACAAAGACTACAGTGATCTAAATAACATTATTTGCTTTATTGTTAAAACTTAAAAAGCTGCTTACAGAACTGATTGCTGGAAAATTGTGATGTATACCAAATAAAATTTATTTTTAATTAGGATGAAACAGGTGCCTATTTAATAGACAGAGATCCAACCTACTTTGGACCGGTACTGAACTATCTACGACATGGGAAACTGGTTATCAATAAAGACCTTGCAGAGGAAGGTATGTTTTACAATTCAGAAAAACTGTTCTGAAGTTCATTTGCTCCAAAAATTAGTTTTCAAATTGCTTCATTTGGAAAGCACTTGCATGATTATTTGCACAGGCTGGCTGGTTCTGGCACCTCTTTTAGAGTTTCCTGGGCTTTAAATTTTGAAAAATAAATAGGTCCTGGCATTTAATTGTTGTAAAATAACAATTTTTCCAAACCATCAAAAGTAGGAATAAAGAAGTAGTAGATTTATACAAGCAGTCCCAAGTCTCCCTTTGCAAGGCTGGCCAGACCTCCAAATATGCTCTCCCCGCCTCTTCAAAGTCCCTTTCCTTCAGCTGGACTATTTCTAATTGTAATATATTTGAAGAAATGGAAAGGCATGGGGTGTCCCGCAGATGGTTGCCCTTCTCACCTGTTTGGGCTCGGTCATCCTCGTGTTCCACAACTGCTCTTGGAAGTGGGGAGAGGGGTAGCAGCAGTTTGTGGCCTGGGCTCATGTTGCCTCTTAGGGATGGCAGTGACAAACATTGTTTCCCATCAGAATTAAGTTTTGTCTTTTGTAACTTGGTTTCCTTTTCAAGGTGTGCTTGAAGAAGCTGAATTCTATAACATCACATCCTTAATTAAACTCGTGAAGGACAAGATAAGAGAAAGAGACAGTAAAATCTCACAGGTGGGACCCTCTTTGATTTTTGAGTAAGTGGTGTTTGGTTTGGGGCTGATTCAGTATATGAGACTTCCAGTGTGGAGGAGGAATGTGGCCTTTCCCAGCTCCAGCAGCGTTTCCTCTCTCTTGTTGATGTCACTCTGACAGTCTGTGAGGCCGATCCCACCAAGGGGGGAGCTGTACCCGTGACCTGGGGGGGCAGCGGGATTCAGGGGAGCTCCTTTTGAGAATTTCAGTGGGCTGCTAGTTTCCCGCATTGGTTCCACCTGCCTTGTTCTCTGCCACAGGTGCCAGTCAAGCATGTTTACAGGGTGCTCCAGTGCCAGGAAGAGGAATTGACCCAGATGGTCTCCACCATGTCTGATGGCTGGAAATTTGAACAGGTAACGTAAGGAGATTTCACTTTCTTGCAACTGCAGGAGGCGCAGTGGAGAGGGAGGGGAGGGAGAGGTTTTTTCACATTGGTGTAAGGTACAACAGTATCGTACAGGCAGCCATCGACTTGGAGCAGGTTGTTCAGGGACCGTTCATAGTTACCACGCCACCGAGAAAGGGGACTGTTTTTCACGCTTACGACCACTGCAGCATCTCCCCAGGGCCACGTGAACAAAATTCAGGTGCCTGGCGACTGACTCCTGTTTATGACAGTTGCAATGTCTTGGGATCACGTGATCCCTTTTGTGACCTTCAATAGGGAGGACAGATTCCCTTAACAGCCATGTTACTAACCTGACAATTGCGGTGGTTCATTTAACAACTGTGGCAGGAAAGGTCGTAAAATGGAGCAAAACTCAATTAACAACTGTCCACAGAAATTTTGGGCTCAGTTTTGGTCGTAAGTTGAGGACTGCCTGTACTACAACTGAGACGGTATAGATTCTCCTGCTTGAGCAGGGGGCTGGACTAGAAGAGCTCTAAGGTCTCTTCCAGATTCCATTCCATTCCATTCTGTATTATTATCAATAGCAAATACAGATTAGTAGTAGCAGCATCCTATCAAAAGTAACATCCGTGTTATTAAGTAATGCCAAATTAGTAAGTAATAATCTGAAATTAATATGTCAGTTACTTTAATGTGCTTCAGTGGCAGAGAGTTCACATCTGCTCTTTCAGTCACCCAAACATCTATCTTTGAAGGAAAGCCGTTGCTTTTATTCCTATCTTGAGAGGGAGGCAGAGACAGAAGTCGAGGTGCCTTAACTAGGTCAATTGGTGAATTTTTGTTGGAGACAATCCATGAAGTGGGTGATCTCTGGCTTTTCTCTAACTCCCTTCACCCCTGGTTCATTTTTGGAAGGAGCCCACCTTCTGTGTATGCCACACTTGCTTTTGTACATAGCTGGGGAGCCTCCTGTTTATAATGCCTCTTAAGAAAACTTTATCTTCGAATTGTAATGTGCTGCTACTTTTGGGGGGGGATCTTTTTGTTTCCTCTTCCTTTTCTGCAAGTTTATGTTTTCTTTTTTAAAACAGTATCCTCTTCTCTTTTATAAGTCTGGTGATCTCTTGAAACCAGTGGTCACTTTCCTGACTTGCAGGATGTACTGTATTCTAGCTGGATTTCAGTGTTTCTTTCCTTTTCTTTTCATAATCCCTCAGTAATTTGGAAAATCTGACCACCTTGCCTTTTTTCAGGTTTCTTTTGATAGTCCTTGTCAGGATCCAGTTATATTTCCTTTCTATCTCCTCTAATCTAAAACCAATTATTACTATTTGCTGGGTCCTGCCATACTCCCAAGGGGGAGGGGAGACATGCAGGGGGTTTTATTACTTTCACTTCCTCCATTCACTACAAAGTCACCTTCTGTTTATTCTCCTCTACTAACCATTACAATGGAACCATTTGACTCTTATCCTATGCCCCTCTGAACTTCTCTTCCTTACTGGGGAAATTAGAAAAGGTGTGTGTGTGAAAAGACACTGACCTTCGGAATCTGTTTTATTTCTCCGTTGTCAGAATAAACTCTGAAGAGCTGGTGAATGATCATGGAGCCGGTTTGATGTTATCTTGGAAGGAATGTGGGGAGGAGTTTGCTTAGGGACACTTTAAAACATCGATGTATAAGGGAATCCCTCAGATCCTGTCTATTATGCCTACTATCAATTTCTTTTAATAAAAGTTCCCGTTGGAAGAGGCTGTTTCCAAGAGTTCTGCTTTCTTAAAATGTGGGTTGAAGTGGTTCCTTACAGTCCTTCATTTTTAGAGATTAGCTACTGCAAACAAATGTGATTGAACTGGTCTGTTCCTTGTCTTCATCATTCATCACTCATCACTTTATATCCAGTGTTTCTACTCAAAGAACACCAAATGATTTTTTTCACTATTTTAAAGTAGAACCTTAAAGTCTGATAAAACTAGTTAAAAGTTACTATTAATTAATTTGAACTGAAAGGTCTGGCCAAAGAGGAAAGACTTTGTTTTCTAAACAGGATTGAACGCTCAAGTGAGTTCATTCTACTTGCACTGTCCTTCCATTATTGCCTTTCACCTATCATTGTTATTGTCATTGATTCTATCAGTAATGCTTTCATTTTACTGCATTTTGGATCCTTCACTGTCATTCAGGCAACTTCCAGGCATAAAAGGGAAAGAAGACCCTTCTACTCTTCCTTCCAAAGGTTAGCATTGCAGTTGTATCAATGAATAACATTACTATAGATCACAGTTCTATCAAGCATATCAAAATAAAAAAAAATAAGAATGAAATAAAAAAATGGCAGAATGCAATAAAGTAAAATCAGAATCATACAACATGTAGTCATTGGACAGCTGTTGCTATGTGGTTATTACTTGTTGACATGCATACTTAATAACTGCAAAGCATGTTTCTTGAATTCTTATAAAAAGGTCTTTAATATACAAATTAGACAACAATAGGACAGTCTTGTTTCACCCCATTTAGGATAGGAATAGGTTTAGTTAGGTCTCCTTTATAATTTACCTGATATTATCACTTTAAGAAAGCAGTAATCCGTCAATGGGCCCATTTCCTCCAAAATCTCTCACACAAGATGAGACTGCCCTTAGGCCTATGAAAGGCACCTTCGGGAAGATTTCTCGGATGTAACATTAGGCATTGGTCCATTGTTGAATGACCCGGTTTGAATTTTGCCTGCTTTGAGGCCAGGATGTTTTTGGAAAGCTTACAGTTAGGTAGTTTATAATATGAAAAACTGATGTTTAAACTACTGATTGCAGATGAGAGGCTGATAGTTTAGAGCAGTGGTTCTCAACCTTTTTAATGCCACGACCCCCCAACCGGTCGTAAGTCGAGGACTACTCAACCGGTCGTAAGTCGAGGACTACTCAACTGGTGCAGCACCGTTTGCAGAATGGGACTTTTGGCGGGCTCAGCAGGGCAGAGACAGCCTGGACAATTCCTATTGGCTTTTGAAAGCCAATAGAATTAGACTCTATTCAAGAGAGTCTATTCTATTGGCTTTCAAAAGCCAATAGAATAAAAGGGAGTAGCACAGCTAAGGAAAAGGGGGAGGGGAAATGGCGGACTGCGTTGTTTGGCGACCCCCGTGAAATGGTCGTTCGACCCCAAATGGGGTCCCGACCCACAAGTTGAGAAGCACTGGTTTTATAGGATAAGACTGGTCCCCTTTTGTGGCCATGGGAAGAAGGAAATATTTAAGCCCAATTTTGGAATCTGGAAAGAGTTATTTGTGGCAGTGGAGAGAGGGGCTAGCAAGAATGGGATTGGATTTTGGAAATTCTGGTATAATTGATTTGCTGAGGGATTTGCTTTTTTTCCAATTGAGAAATTTATTTTTGATGTTTTATACATGAGACAGGTCCATTCAGGAAGGGAATCGTCTGGTAGCAAAATTGAAGGATCCTCACTTAGAGATGTTTTGAATAAATGGCTGAAATGTCCATTCCGACTTATAGTTAGCTGAAGATCGGGAAATGAGGTTCCAGAATAGGCAGTAATTTTTCTTTGTTTAACCCAAGGTCCTTATTGCATAAGTTTGTTTCTTCTCCTTTATAAACCTCTTGAAGCTCTTTTTTTAGTATACAAAAGATTTTTCAAGATCGTGACATATTTGAGCATTTCTATCAACAGATAATTTCCAGTGCTTTCTCTGGCAAACTAAGGTTTAGGTCAGACCGATGCAACCTATAGATGAGAAAGGCCACATTGAAAAGCACAGGGTCCCAGAGGAATCCCTGCTGTGTAGATCAGCTGCTTGGTGGTTAGTGGAGCAGCTGGCGAGTGGGGGGGGAGGCTTGGAGACACTTGGCAGCCATTTATTTTCTTACATTTATTTTACTTAGTTATCAAATTTTGAAACTGCTGATCTCCCTCACAGAGGGACTCTGGGTGGTATACAGATAAACTATTAAAACAGTAAAAACTAATATGCAAAATTTAAAAAGAGGCAAGGATGATTACAATTCAGTTAATTGAAAGCTGGGGAGGGAAGCTTTCTTGGTGCTAATCAGCTCCACCCCCACCCCCGTCTGCTCCTCTGCGCTGCCCAAGTAAGACAGCAGAGCCCTCTTTCCAAACCTTTCCACCTCATCCACAGGGCGGGCCATTGGCAGAGGAAATCTTTAACTGACAGGTCCACAGCACGCCCTCCCGCCCTGGGTGGGATGGGCCAATGTAATTGGTTAAAGATGGTTCCAGAGATACAGTAGCCTGGCCCCCTGCCAGGTGAGCCTTTAAGGACATAGCCAACACCCGGAAATGGATCCAGAAGCAAACTGGCATCCAGTGGAGCTGGTGCAGCAAAGTTGTTACATACTCGGTTCTTTGGGCGCTCAAGATTGCTCGTGTGGCTGCATTTTGTACCAGCCGCTTCAGATACTTTTCAAGGGTGTTATTACTTTTCCGAAAGCGCTACTGGCCACATGAGGCTGCTTGTCAAGCTGCATGTGGCTCCTGGGCCTCATGTTACCCAGGATGGTTTAATGTTGCTTTGAAAGACGAGAAAACGGCTTTGCCCAAGTTTTAGATGTTTCTGAGCAGAAGTGATAATTTGATGGAACAAGCTTTTTCCATCTGCATGTTGGTATTTAATTTAGAATTTACAGGACGGATACTAAAAAAAGAACATGAATAGAGATGGGAAAATTTTAATAAATATTTAAAGAGGTTTATTAAGAAATTGCCCCTAAATACTAAAGAACTGGGTGAGCCCTAATCATGGGCAAGGTTCACATTCCGGAATTCAGCTCACAGGGAAGCAGGGGAAAGGGGGTAAATCTCACCACCTCTTTTTGCCCACTCCCTCCGCCTTGGGAATCTCCACCTGTTTGGGGATGATCAGCATGGGGGAAATTAAAGGTTGCATTTCAATCATTGGAGAGGAACAGATTACAGGAGAGTAAACAGGCACACAAAAAGTGAATACAGCCTTAGCATTGATGGTTTGCTTGCTCTGCCTGCTTAGAAGACAAAAAAAAAAAAAAAAAAGCCTTTAGGGTCAAACTGATTAGGGTCAGGCCAGTTTTAGATAGCAGCACAAACCAGAGGAGAATTAACTAAGATTGGAGAATCTGTGGTTAGCATCTATACAAAATCAGGCACAGGACACAAGCCTTAGTAGCCACCCTTAGACTTTCAAATGATTGATAATTTACATCTTACGAGACTAGGTTAGTTGCAGATAATTGCCAGCGGCAAGAGAGTCATGGGGATGTTAAGCCAGGGCCTGTTGTACCGATAGGATACTGGCAGATCTTACAAGGAGCAAGCAGTCCCTTCCTAATGGAAAGCCACAGAGAAATACTTGCAGTGAAGGATAAAATAATTGTGTATTAATATATGATGTAAAGCTTATGGCAGTGATAGCGAACCTTTTAGAGACCGAGTGCCCAAACTGCAACCCAAAACCCACATGCATCATTGGGTGCCGGGTGGGTGTGGCCCATTGGGTGGGCATGGCCCATTGAGTGGGCGTGACTGCGGTGGTAACGGCAGACTGGGTGGGACTAAAAAGTTGAATCAATTCCAACTTTGCAAGATCTTTTTTTTTCCTCCGCAAGAAATTGAAATTGACTGATTGATTGAATCTTTTTTTTTTTTTGCACAAGGCGGAGGCCTAAAGCAAAAAGGTTTTATAAAACCCAGCTGAAGGCTTAGGACTGGGGAGACGGTGTGCGTGCCCACAGAGAGGGCTCTGAGTGCCACCTCTGGCACCCGTGCCATAGGTTCGCCACCACTGGCTTATGGCCTCCAAGGCTAGTTCGCCCTCGGCAAATTTTAAAATCTTTCAATGTCAAATTGCCACAACCTTGACACATAACACAAGATTTTAAATTCAGCATCTGTAGATTTTCATAAAGACAAAGTGATTAATGAGAAATATGGGTTATTATAATACTGAAAAAGAATCTTGTCATTCTAGCATTAGAAACACCAGTAAGTAATACTGTTGAGTTTTGAAACGCAGATGTTAAGTCTAGGAATCAAAATTCAGAACAATTGCTACTGCTTTTAAATTGGGATAATTTATTTTGAAGAAAACACAGACGAGACCGATTGCACCAGCTTTTAGAGAGAGGGCAATAACTAGCTGGTCTCTCACAAACACGCCCCAAACCAGAGAAATGGTGTCCCTGTGCAGTGGCGACCCTCCCTAATTCCCTGAAGGAGAAGCAGGAGGAGTAAGGCACCATCAGACTTGGAAGGCTCTGGCTTTAGAGCCGATCTCGATCAAAGTAGCTTTAACCCCTGGAGCTGCTTTTCTAGCCTGCTCTTCCCAGGGGAGCTAAATGGATGGTCTCTGGCCCTGGGTTGGAAGAAGGTTGCTGGCCTCGGGCCTAAAATGCTGCACTGTAGAAGCCAGGCAATGTGGTGCTTTTGTTTTAATAAACCTAGGGCAGTGATGGTGAACCTTTTAGAGACCAAGTGCCCAAAAACCGCCCCCGCTCCGCCTCCCGCCCTGCCTGCTCCGGCCCCGCCTGCCCCCTGCCCCGCCCACCCGCAGGGCTACACACCGCCTCCATGGCCTGCCGCAGCAGATCGCCCAGATCTGCCAGTATCATACTGCCATGGAAGCCACGCCCTCTGCCCACACCCCGCAGCATCATCTGCACGCTATGGGGCGTGAGGGCGGAGTCTTGTTCCTGCTACCTGGCTATGTCCTTAGCTGCCCTGCTCCGTGCAGGCCACGCCCGGGGGCGATTCTCCTCCAGGAGGCTGCTGGTGAGGAGGGGGCCGTGGGCAGAGGCGGGGCTGTGGCAATGGCACGCATGCCCACAGAGAGGGCTCCGAGTGCCGCCTCTGGCATGCGTGCCATAGGTTGGCCACCACTGACCTAGGGATTCCCAGGTTGTTTCAATATTTTTTGAAGAATGCTTTAATTATTGTTAATTAATTACTGTTTTACTGTATGATGCCCAGAGTCACATCTGTGAAATGGGAGGCTGTGTAAATTTGATCAATGGAGCTATGTTAATCGTGGCTAAATGAAGGTTCATTCTTTACTCCTGGACCGTGACTAGGTTTATTGTAATAAAATGCTGTATATTAACTGCAAGCCTAATGAGAAGATAGGTGCTGTGGTTCCGGCTAATGAAACATTCCAAAGAACTTCCAGGCATTTATTTTCCTAAAAGTCTTTTATTGTTACAAAATGTCGGCACATGCACAACAGAGGGATGCTAGGATCTAAGTTCTCTTCCTCTGAGCAGTTAAATTATCAGCATGTTCCCTCCCTAAATTAGCCGTCATATCTCACATTATCCAATTAGTGTGAAGGTCAAATGTTTTCTTCCTCTTTCTTTCCCGGGCTTTACCCCAACCCCCCTTCTGCTCTGTATTAACCCCATAATTACCAGACAATTCTGCATATTGTCAAAAGCAAGAATATACAATATTTGCAGCGTTGACAATAGGGTGTTTTGGAATTAGTTGCGAGAGTAAATGTAGGCTGTACTTTGTACATTAAATGAGTCTGAGAGTCAAACCCTGCAAAGTTTGTTTTATAAACAGAATCACAGTCAGCCCTGTGTCTTTCATTGAAAATGTCCCTTTTTTCTCTACTCTCCCAAGTTTAACCTTGAAGTGAATTCTGCTTTATGGCTTCTGCTCCAGCTGCAGCAATCTAGCAGTCAGTTTCTGCGAAATTCCTTCCTAGAAGACTCAACTTCAGAATGAGGGATTTCTAAGAAATTATCTTCTTGAGATTTAGTTTTATTTGTTAAATAAACGAATGCTGTTGACTTCTACTTTGAGACCGGATGCTTCAGTCTCAAGTCTACATAAGTCCTCTTGCTGTGTCTCCAGAGCTTTGCCATGCTATGGGTCTTCCTGTCTTGCAGAGTTCCTAGAAATAGGTCTGTCTGAATAGGTCATTTTTATAAAGTTTGTGCTTGGGGATCCAAGGAGAAACTAAATTTACCTCAGCTTGAATAAAATAAGGCCACAAATGATGGCCCTGCTCTTTCTCTCTGCTAGTGGGAATAAAAAGAGAGGCCTCCCCTCTGCCTAGTGGAGCTTTGGCCTTTTGACCCTGAGGCCTTGGGGTCCTTTGCAACCCAGGGCAGCAACCCTAAGCTTCTCTTTCCTCTTTCAGCTAGTGAGCATTGGATCATCCTATAATTATGGGAATGAAGACCAGGCGGAATTCCTCTGCGTTGTCTCCAAGGAGCTGCACAACACGCCCTATGGCACAGCCAGCGAGCCCAGCGAAAAAGCAAAGGTGAGTCATCTTGAGGAGAGGAGAGAAGTGCACAAAAGCTCAGTGCTGTGCTTTGTGCTTGCCAGGTGTCAGGGCAGGGATCAGGTGCCCAGGCAGTTCAGATCCAGAGACAACAAACACACCAGTGAATAAGAATTTTAAGCTTTATTATTAACTCGGGCAAACAGATTTAAAAGCCTAACATAAAAAGCATACATGCCAAGCAAGATGATGCCCAAATCTCTGATAAGGAACTCCTTAATAACAACCGCAGAGATACCCCATGGGCGGCCAATTTTCACAGCCCTCCATGCTAGATTCTGTGTGGAAGCTCCCGGTTTAAAGGCCAGGAGGAGGTTTTTATGAAAGCAGCCCGGCCTCTGTAGTCCTGAGAAAGCAAGACCTGACGGTAACCAGATGGCACCTGACTCTGGGACAGAACCAGAAGTCTGAGCTTTTCACAAATGAGAAAAACTTTGCAGCTATATGATGGTTTCCCCCTCCTCCCTCCTTTTTTCAGCAAACAAGAATGAGAAACAAATCAGGTTAGCTCAGAATGAACTCTGAACTTTTTCTTAATATGAAGGAGAAATCAAAATGTGCCAGTCAACTTGAAATATGGTATTCCACTGTATTACTACACTTCAATGCTAATGGGATTTATTGTAAGAAAACAGCATTGCCTCTGCCCACATGTGGGACTCTTGTCCTCATTGCAGTTTCAGATTCTGACCTGAGAGGGAGCCCTTCAGGCTAAGTAGAAGATGAAGAAGTACAGAAGAATTCTGTTTGCGTCCCCTGGCTTCTCCCATTTGGGGGGGGGGAGTAGTTGAGAGCTGGGTGGAGCAGGAGGAATGTTTGTCTGGACATTGCCACTTGCATTTAAGCCCAAACTGGCCTGAAGTAGAATGGAGGAATCTTCAGAAGATGAATGAGCGGGCATCTGCTCATTGCACATGCTCTGGCCTTCTCTGCCAGAGGGGGCCAACAAGAGGGGTGCCATTAGGAATGCCAGCAACTCTAGTTAGGAGGGCCAGAGCAGTGGGTGGCTCCCCATCCTCAGTGTTCTGTCCCAGCCTATGTGAGTCCTTGTTAATTCACAAGGACAAACCCCTCTTTTAACAAGTAGGCTGGAAATGCAGGGAAAACAAACCCCTTTTATTAGTTAGGTACAGACCTGCAAAATATCCCCAAAGCAAAGGCAAACAAAACACGATGCAAACGGAGAATTGTCCAAGGCAAACAAAAGAGGATTCAAACGGAGAACTTTCACAAGCAAGGCAAACAAAACAGGATTCCCACAGAGAACTTTCACAAGCAAGGCAGATAAACAGGATTCCATGAAACTTGAGTCCTTTGCAAACGGTTGCCTTCAGCAACCAGCACCGCCCACACCTTTTTTATTATGCAGCCCCAGGGCATGGCTTCTCAATGCCTTCTCCTTCCTTGGAGTTGCCTCATTGCCTCTTTCTCTTCTGCTGTTGTTGCCAGTGTGCGTTTCAAACGTCTCTAATGTCTTCCAGCTGTGAGTCCTCAAAGTCTGACTCAGCTTCCCCACACATCTCAGTCTCAGCCTGAGCATGATTGGAAGGGCCAGCCTCTTCATCAGATGCTAAGTCCTACAGCTCATCAGAGCTTCCCTTTGACTCTGATGGCTCTCCAGGCCCTTCCTCCTCCTCCTCCTCTGATTCCCCGGACTCAGCTGCCAGGTCCAGTGGCTGGCACAGACCCACAACACTATGCCGCACCGCAGGACCCTTCTCCCAGGTCTGCCGGGCCGGATGCGGTTGGGATGGGAACTGTTCATGGAAGTCAGTCACCAAAGCAGGAGCATGAACGTTGGTCGCATCCTCCCAGGTAAACTCCTCTGGTTTGTAGCCCTTCCACTTGATCAAGTACTGAAAGCGCCCTTTCAGCCAACGGGAGTCCCGAATGCTGGCGACCTCATACTTGGGAGCGCTGTCTCTGTCATGTTGTTCTGGTGGGGGAGGTTCTGCTCTGCGGAGTGGACACGCTGGTTGCTTGGGGACCAACAGAGACTGTTGAAAGACCGAATGTACCCGCAGCGACTGTGGCAGAGTTAATCGATAGGCGACCAGATTGATGACAGCCTCGATTGGGAACGGTCCTAGATATCTGTGATCTAACTTCTTGTCTGGCCGGGTTGACAGTAGGTTCTTGGTGGACAGCCATACCTGATCTTCCACCATTAGTGGAGGCATATCCCACCTCGACCCATCAGCAACCTTTTTGTAGTTGGCCTAGGTCTTCTCTAATTGTCGCCGCACCAATCAATGGATCACCTGTAACTCTGTCATGTAGTCATTCGCTGCTGGCACCGGTGAGTCTAGCTGCGAAAAAGGGAAAGTCTGGGGGTGATACCCTACATTGGCCAAGAACGGTGTCATCTGCATGGAGATGTGCTGCAAGTTGTTGAACGCGAACTCAGCTACCGCAAGATAATCTGCCCAATTGTTCTGCTGATGATTTACATAGCAGCGCAGATATTGCTCGAGGATTCTGATGACTTTCTCGGTCCCACCATCAGTTTGGGGATGATGCACGGACGAGAGGCAGATCTTGATGTCCAATGCTTTCATCAACCCTTGCCAGAAATGTGCTGGATGAACATACAACTGGTGACACGGGCTGACGGCAAGCCATGGCACGGAATGAAATCCGCCATCTTGGTCAGCATGTCCACCACAATGAACATCATTGTGAATCCAGAAGATGGGGGTAAGTCCGTCAGGAAGTCCATGGGTACCGCCCCCCAGGGTCTTTTGGGCGTCACCAAGGGCTGCAGTAGTCCAGGCAGGGCCCCCGTCGCTGACTTGGCCTGCCTACACTGGGCACAGGACTCTGATGGCTCTCCAGGCCCCTCCTCCTCCTCTGATTCCCCAGACTCAGCTGCCGGGTCCAGTGGCTGGCACAGACTCACAACACTCAGGCAAGGCAGAAGAACTGTGCAAAGATACTGATTACGGGGGCTAAGAATTCAAGCTATTTTAAGATTGCAGACTAAATGTCATGGTTCCAATAGGTGAGACCAGTAGAAATAAGAACTCCGAGGCAATTGCTTTCTTCAAAGAACACATTTAATGGCTACATAGTGTCGGCACGAACAAAGGTGAAACCAAGACTGAAAGTTCCCCCCAGGTTACAATGTAACAAGTTGAATTTCCCACCCCTGCAATATGTCATAAATCACAATCCCCAATTAACTACTTTGGCTTGCTTTCTAACAGAAACTCCAGCCCGCCAAAACTTAGATAGCTTGACCTTGGTTCCCACAGGAAAGTTATTGTTATGTCTAAACTAAAAGCATACATCCCCCCTTCCCATGGCTTTGGCAACTGAAAACGAAGTGAAGATGGCTGCAGCCAAGATCGTTTGAAAGTTGATAGTCAGATCCTCTACAGAAGAGAGAAATCCTGTAGGCAAAAAAGGAGAGAGTCAGGAATCATTCCTAGGCTTATTCGGATGTTTATCATAAAATTTTCATATTAATCTATCAGCTTTTACGTCAGCACTTTTTACTCAGGTGGCCTCTGATAGTGGGTAACCTTTCCACTGCACCAGATACTGTAACTTTCCCTTGTACAACCTTGAATCAAGGATTCGTTTTACTTCATAATGAGTCTCCCCCTCCACGACAAGGGGACCAGGTGGCTGCTTTGGAGGAGGTCTCAATAAGGACTCTCTGTTTGGCTTCTAGGCTGCGGTGGAACACAGGGTGAACTTTCCCTAAAAGGGGAGGGAGCTTTAATTCCACGGTGACTGGGTTTATAATTCACACTATGGGGAAAGGTCCAAGGAATTTTGGTCCCAATTTTTTACTAGGCAGCTTGAGTCTTAGACATTTTGTAGAGAGGTAAACCTTTTCACCCACACGAAATGGCCTCTGAGGGCCCTTCTCTTGTCTGCCTGCTCTTTGTAAATTTTGGAGGCTTTTGTTAGAGCCACTTTCGCATTGTCCCAAATGGTCTTCCAAGAAGTTACCCATTGATCTAAAGTTTGAGAAACAGGAGGGTCCTGAGGGAGTTCAGGCATGGGAATGAATTCCCTACTAGTAGCTATTTTAAAAGGAGTGAGTCCAATGCTGCTATGCACTGTGTTATTGTAAGCCACCTCAGCGAAGGGGAGGAGGTCAGCCCATGTGGTCTGTTGGTAGTCAACATAACACCTAATGTATTGTTCCACTATAGAGTTAGCTTTTTCAGCAGCCCCATTAGTAGACGGATGAAAAGTCCCTGCATGGACCCAATAAGTTTCAGAAAGTCTTTCCAGAACTTGTCAGTGAATTGCACCCCCCCCCCTATCTGAAATAATGCACTTTGGAGCTCCATGGAGTCGGTATGAGAAACATTCTAGCCAATTTCTTAGCAGAGGGAAGACTGGTGTAGGCAGTGAAACGAGCTTGTTTAGAAAAAAGGTCAATCACAATCCATATTACCGTATTTCCCCTACTTTCAGGTAATTTCACAATAAAATCCATGGCAATCTCTTCCCAGGATTGGGAAGGGTCTGCGACTCACTGCAATAATCCAGGGGGCTTACTTGGACGTTTTTTCATTGGTCTAATTTGGTAAAATCTTTTCCTTTTGCCAAATGGCTAGCATGTCCTTCATCAAGGGGAGGAAGTACATATTCTCCATGCTGACACAGTTTAACCCCTTATAGTCCACACACAGCCTCGTCGACCCATCTTTCTTTTCCTTGAAAAGCACTGGAGCAGCTACCTGGGATTTTGCTGGCTGGATGAATCCATTGGCTAAATTCTTATCAATGCATGCCCTAAGTTTTTTCAGTTCGCGGGAGGTCATCGAATACATTTTTGATTTAGGTAATTTGGCTCCCGGTAAAATCTCAATAACGCAGTCAGTGGTTCGGTGGGGGGCAGGACATCACCTTCCGCCTTACTGAATCCTTTTGCTAGGTCTCTTTATTCACTTGGGATGACTGGCTCTCCTGGCGGGGAACTCACAGTAGATTTCAAGGTCTCCAGGGGCTGCTCTTGA